ACCTCTCTCTCTCTCTCTCTCTCTCTCTCTCACACACACACACACACACACACACACACAACACACAGGTCTGTAAGCTGGGATAAAACACTAGTGAGACCAATTCTCTGTACTTCACTTCCGCTGCAGTTATCTTTAAATATAAGTGTAATCATTCTTTTAAGTTTCTAGTTGCAGTAGTTTCATAGTTCATAGATTTTATGCAATGCTGTGCATGAGAGCTCAGTTGCAAATAAAATCAGTAAGATCTTGAGTTAAAAACAAAAATCTGCAATAGCAGCAAAGAACAGTGAATTCAGTAAACTAACACCAAACAAGCTGATAGAGAGTGTTGTAGTCGTTTCCCTTTTTCTCTTTTTTGGGGATGTAAGCTGGGAGCAAGCACAGCCTTGTGTGTGTGTCTTTTAGTGAGAGAGGAGAGAGAGAGAGAGAGAGATAAGATACTTACCCCACATCCTGTATCAAGTGCAGTTCTGATTTTTCCACTTGTTAATGGAATGAGCTCGTTTATGTCATCGATATAAGCATCAGCACCTCTGGGGAACATGGTGCCACCACCAGGGAACCTGAACTTCTCTCCTTCTACCTGGATCCAGTTCTGGACTGCCTTTTCGATCGTGAGTTCTTTGTGAGGGACATTAGCATACCAAGCCCAATCCCTGCTTCGGGGCCATGGAAATGGATTCTTATAACCAGGAGGAGCAGGGATAAGGCATCTAAGAAGCTCATCCTTAGCAGGACAATGTCTCTCTCTGTATATAAGCATTTTCTTCTCAAATTTTCTTGCTCTTTTTGGGTCTTGGCATGGCGTATACTCACTGAATTTCATCTCACAAGCTGGAAATTTTTGAAACCCAGCTGAGGTGTCATTGGATGAGACTTGATGGTGGGACTCAAAATCAAGGGATGATGATGGAGATGATGATGAAGTTCGTAATGATGACGATTGATAGGTGGTTGAAGAGATGCCATCACATCCCTCTTTGTTAGAGATAGAGGAGCGATCGGAAGCGGAAGGGGTTGTGTTTTGCCATGCCCCCAGTATGTAGAATATGATACAGAGACCACTAACTCCCAAGACCCAAGTTAGGCGCTTCCTTCGATTCTCTAATTGATAGGGTTTTGGGGATCCACTGTACTCTTTCGCCATTAGGCCTGTGAGAGTTGCACAGACAGAAGTTAGAGAGAGGAAAAGAAGGTAAGAAACAGATGGTTTTTCTTCACTCACAAAAGAAAGAGAGGTAAATGTGCTCTCAGATTTCTGAGAACATCAGGCGCACCTCATGATCAACACAAACCAGAATTAAAGCTCATAGGACAGATGGAAACCAATATAAAAGTCCTACAAAGAAAGGAAAGAGATAAAATGAAAAGCAAAGTAAAAGAGGTTTTCAAGTTAGTAGTGAATACCAAGCATAGACTTTATCAATGGATTGTGAGTCGAAGTGCAGAAAACTGACAGGTAACAGCAATGAGGCAGTAAAAATTAGATCTTTGTTACATGAGAACAATACAGATGGGACTTCAATAACAGAGGGCCATCTACATAGAAAGAAGGGAACCTCATGCTTTAAAAACGGATTGTGTAGACCAAGAAGAGCTTCATTAATGGAGTTTAAAGAGCATCAGATAAAAATCTGACAAGAAAAAAACAAGAAAGAAAATAACAGTATGAGAAAACGGGTGCAAATCCACAGTAAAAGTCAGGCAGAAGAACACAATGAGCTTTAAGAAGCAGGCACAAGAAACGTATCTGACCAAAGGAAGCAAACAGAGCAACTAAAGGGATAAGTTCTGTCAAAATCAAGAGAAAAGCCAGCAGTCGCTATTACTGGCTCTAGATAGCGAACACATGAAAGAGAAAAACAATAAAGAAAACAAAGGGCAAAAGAAAAAGGGATCTCAATACCATGGATTCCATTAATGGTTGTTAACCATTAAGACATATCTTAAGAACGCAAAATCATTAAACACACCAGAGAGAGAGAGAGTTCTATTAAGAAAGTGGCCAAAACTCCATTAACAAATCTCAAGCTACGATCTACTTACTTCAAAGAATCCAACTTGAAGAATCTGCTCAAGCTCAAACAAAAGTCAATGGAACTTGAAGAATCTGATGAAGCTCACCAGCAAAGAGATCCGAAACACAAAATCACCAAACCCAAAACCAGAAAGAAGCCAACCCCCTGTACCAAAGCCATGCACTGGTCCCAAGTCCCTCATAACAGTCCAAAACCCATCATCACATTTCAAAACCAGTACACAAAATACCCCAAAACAATAAAGAAGGAAAAAAAATCAACACCCACAACCAGTAAAAACACAACCCAAAAACAATAACTGAAAGATTTTTTTAAAAAAACCCACAACCTGTAAAAACCAATACAGTCCAAACAAATGCAATAAAAAATTTAAAAAGCAGAGAAACAAGGCATACCTCAGCTTTATCTAGTGTAGGAACCAACTGCAATAAATATCTCTCTCTAAACTTGAGGAGTTTTTCTTTCTTTTCTTTTAAAAGGAAAATCTTTGTTAATGTTATCATGAGCAAACCCAAAAGCTCTGGCAATACACAGGGACCTCTGCATCCTAGACAAAAAAAGTCACCGCCATGACAAAAACCAAGCCAAAGATTTGTCTTTTCATTTGTAATTTCTCTCTCTAAAACACGGGTTCGGATCTTGATACAAGAACAGATGCTAAGAATAGGATGTCAAAGGAGAAACAGAAGGCATAAGTGTAGGTAATGAGAGGAGAGAGACCAAGCTTAAAAAACTCAATAAAAATTTAAAAATTGAATGAATGCTACTTTATATAAAAGGAAGGGGTTTCCACAAGGTTGCAACCTCAAACAATCCATTTGAGGCGCACTTTCAAATTTTATAGTACCATATAATTTTAATGTAAAATATTTTTACGATGATCTCAAAAATCTATTTTTAAATCTAATATAAAATTTTAAACTTCAAAAATAATTAAAATCATGTAGATCTATAAACATATAAAAATCTTAAAAATAAACGATTTAGATAATGTGTTATAAAATACACTATTTTTTAGGCTTCAAATTATTTTTTTCTTTCATAATCATATATATATATATATAGATGTCGAGATTATCAATTAGAATATTTTTCAACATTTAAACAACCTTTATCAATAGATTTTGTAACTTCATATAAACTTCTCCATTTTAAAGTTGCAAATTTATATAACCTTTTCCTGTGTATAAAAATACCAATGGTATGAAAATACAAGGGAAAGAAATTTCTTTCCTTTTAAATAGTTTGTTTTATTTTGATAAGTTAATATTAGGAGAGGGAGAAAGTCCCCATGAAAGTGTTTCCAGCAAGAGAGAGAGATATTCAACTTTTTAGAGTGAGAAAGTGGGGAGAGAGAGAGATTTCACTTTTTACAGAGGAAGAGAAGAGAGAGATTTTACTTTTTTTAAGAGAAAAAGAGGAGAGAGATAGAAAGATTCCAATTTCAAGAGAGAAAGAGGAGAGAGAAAAAGAGAAGAGGAGAGAGAGATTCCCTGAAAACATGGAATAGGATATGGACATTGCAATGGGCAAGGTTGATATGATAATGAGGAATAAAATATGTTTCGAGTTCAGGGGACAGATCCGAATAACCCTTGCCTTGTTCAGAAATATGCAGATCGGATACCTGATGTAGCCATAAAAATACCCTATTACTTTTAGGAAATAGCATGTATACCCTTCGCGCATTAAAAACGGATACGGGGCATTTGAATCTATATATATGGGTTGCCATTTTCTCGCTTCAGTTGTCATTTTTGCGGCTGCGGCTTTATGATATGTCACTTGAAACTTTGTTGATTATGAGACTATCGCCATAGTTACAATGATGTCATAATCAATTTTAGCCATTGGTTGACAAATTGGATTGTTTGGGTGATCCAAAGTTCAAAAAAAATTTATTTAAAATTTTAAACTTTGAATCTAGTCAATAATATCCTTGAAACTACTTAAAGAGTGTGGTTTGTATAAGGTTGCAACCTTAAACAATCCAATTAACATGCACCTCTAAATATTATCATAAATGTAAAATTTTGATATAAACAATTCTTACGATGGCTTGAGAAGCTATTTTTATCTCTAATTATAAAATTTGAACTTCTGAAAACGGTTCTAATCAAGTAAATCTATAAACACAAGAAAATTTTGAAAATAGACAGCCTAGGTAATATGTTGCAAAATACACTATTTTACAGACTCAAAATCTTTTTTCTTTTCATATTCATACATCTCGCTCGAGATGATCAATTAGAGGTTTTCCAATCTCCAAACATTTTTTATAATGGATTTTTGAGGTTCATCTTTAATTCTACAATTTAAGAATGCAACCTTATTTAAACTTTTTCCGTAGTTAAATAGTCGCTCTGAATACTTTTTTCCAACCTGTTTTGAGTGCCAACGATCTTTGGGATCGCCGGTAAATTTATTTCTCCTATTTAAAAGTTGAAGCTCTATAAATAATGGAGATCTAGCATATCTATTTATATATGAAATAGACAGTCTAGCAAATATATTGCAAGATAATACTTATCGACCCCGGAATTTATTTTTCAAAACCGTGGTTTTTGAAGTCGAGACAATTAATTTATATAGTTTTTAGTGATGTCACTACATTTTCCGAGTGAGCTGTGAGGCACGGCTTTTCTATTCTCTCTTAAACATGGCTAGAAATAACTTTGGGACCCGTTTGGGTACATGAAACTTAAAGCATGGATTTTTAATATCTTGCATATTGTCAAAATCGACCATTTAGATTGCTTAATGACTAGGATACTTAAAATGAGGAAAATCAAACTCATGGAATAAGATTTACTTTTCTATGATTTCATTTCCACACCAAAACTTTTATTTTTTGCATTTTCAAAACCCATGGATTTCACTCATCAGCTCCCTCGACCTGAAAATAGAGCATTTGGTAAGTATGAAGATTTTAGAGAGAAAAAAAACCTAATTTTTTTAAAAAGAAAAACAATCTCAACATTTTTAGAGAGCAAAGTTATCTCAAATTTTAACTTTTAGAGAGAGAGAGTATATTACAATTTTAGAAAGAGAAAGTATGTTAAAATTTGAGAGAGAGAAAGTGCCAAATTTTTTTTTAGGGAGATGAACTATCTCAAAATCTTAGAGAGAGAAAATATCTCAAGTTTTATCTTTTAGATAGAGAAAGTACCTTAAAATTTTAGAGAGAAAAGTACCAAATTTTTTAGAGAGATAAACTATCTCAAAAATTTAGAGAGAGAAACTATCTCAAATTTTAAGTTTTAGATAAAAACTATCATATTTTAGAGATACATGTAAATATTTAGATAGAGAAACTATCTCAATTTTTTTACAGAGAGAAAACATTTCAAAATTTCTAGAGAGAAACAATCTCATATTTTAATTTTTAGAGAGAGGAACTATATCAAATTTTAGAGAGAATACTTAAAAAGTTTTAGAAATAGAAACTATCTAAAAAAAAATTAGAGAGATAAACTATATCAAAGCTTAAGTTTTAGAGAGAGAAAGTATTCTTAAAATTCTAGAGAGGGAAAGTATTCTTAAACTTTTAGAGAGAAACTATTATAAATTTTACAAAGATAAACTGCCAAAAAAAATTAGAGAGAGAAATATTTCGTTTTTTAGAGAGCGAAACTATCTCGAATTTTGAGTTTTAGAGAGAAACTATCTCGAATTTTGAATTTTAGAAAGAGAAAATATATTAAAATTTTAGAAATAGAAATTATATCAATTTTTAGAGAGAGAAACTACCTAAAACTTTTTAGAGAGAGAAACTATCTCAAAATTTTTGGAGAGAGAAACAATCGCAAAATTTATGTTTTAGAGAGAAAAAGTACATTAAAATTTTCGAGAGATAAACTATATCAAATTTTCAATAGAGAAAATATATGAAATTTTTAGAGAGAGAAACTATCTCAAAATTTAAGTTTTAGAGAGAAAAAGTATCTCAAATTTTAAACTTTAGAGAGAGAAAATATATCAAAGTTTAGAGACACATTATATCAAATTTTAAAGAGAGAAACTATTTCAAAATTTTTGATAGAGAAACTATCTCAAACTTGAAGTGTTAGAGAGAGAAAACATCTTAAAATTTTAAAAAGTAACTATATCAAATTTTAGAAAGAGAAAGTACATAAATTTTTTTAGAAAAAGAAACTATTGCAAAATTTTTAGAGAAAAATTATCTCAAATTTTTGCTTTTAGAAAGAGAAATTATCTTAAAATTTGAGAGGAAAACTTATATCATATTTTAGAGAGAAACTACTTAAAAATGTTTAGAGAGAGAAACTATCTCAATATTATTGTAGAGGGGATCTATCTCAAGTTTTAAGTTTGAGAGAGAGAGAGAGTATGTTAAAATTTTAGAAAGAAACTATATTAAATCTTAGAGAATAAAGCACTTAAAATTTTTAGAGAGAGAAATTATCTAAAAAATTTAGATATACAATTTCAAATTTTAAATTTTGGATCGAAAGTATATTAAATTTTAGAGAGATAAACCGTATCAAATTTTAGAAAGAGAAACTCCGGCAAAATTTTATAGATACACTATCGCAAAATTTGAGTTTTAGAGAGAGAAATTATATCAAGTTTTGTTACCAATCAATGAACATAGAAGTGATTGCAAGGAATCATGAATTTTACATAGGTTATCCAAACAAGAGATTTGAGAAATCCATGACAAAAATCCTTGATATTGAAAATCATAAATTTTCTTAGATTTCTAATATCAAAGATCCCTAATTTCCTTTTATCCAAATAGGCCCTTAAAAAATTTACATCCATTATATGATGGTCTCAATAATTTATGTCATTGGTACGAGTAGCAAATCTCTAAGGTAATAAGGGTTTATGCAGAGCCTAAGCAAAGGGTTTGTCATAGAACAACATCGAGTTATACAGCTTGACTTCTACATTTTAGCATTGGAGGTCTCCCCTTAACCCATGAGACTTGACTAAAATTGAGGTTTAGCTAGCTCCATATTGTGTTCTCCAATCCCACTGACAACTTCAAACACCTAACCATTTAAAAAACTGACTTTCAGCTATCATATATGAATTCTAGCAACTTGGAGTGTGTCACAATTTTTTAAAAAAAATTATCTGAGGCTTTGAGTTGTGATTTCCCCAGTAATTGTGATCTCCTTAAATGAAAGATAAAATTAACTGAAGAAAAGTGTTGTATGCGTTGGGGGATGCTTTTGTGATTGTGATCTCCTTAAATGAAAGATAAAATTATCTGAAGAAAAGTGTTGTATGCGTTGGGGGATGCTTTTGTACATTTGCGTCCCCCTAGGCTAGATATTTTTTTCATGAAATTACTATTTTGAATTTCTAATTTTTTTTATTTTTACATATTCATGATCTCCATATTAGAGATTATATATTCTATAAAATCTAAGTGATAAATCCATCTCCAAAATGGATTCTTAAGAGGGGACTCATTTCTCCATATGCGTCTTAAGATTCATAGAAACCTTTATCTAAATCCAAGTTTTTGCTATGGGTTTCTCAACTAAAATTGTTACTTGAACTGAGATAAAGGAAATTTGTTCATGCTCTTGTGATTTATTGTTTGCAAACGCTAATCAATAATCCACTAAAAGTTTAAGAAGTTTTAATTTAAGATTTAGTCAAAATATTTCCCTTCAAAAATAAAAAAAATTCCCATGACCAATGAGAAGGTTCATGATTTATCAAATAATGGATTTCAAAATTGCCTAATTCTTTTTTCTTAAATTCTTGAAA